TGCCGAGTAAAAGGAAGGACACATGAGAGGATTTCAACATTTCCATAAATGATACTGAAAAAGAAGCATAGATAGATGCCAGTTTTTAGACATAATAACTAGCCGTTGTAAGAAAGATGATGACAAATTTAGGGTTTTGAAGCACCGTATGTACATATACACATATACGCACTAGGATTATACACTGTTAAGGACTGAAATCTTTAATTTTCCAGTTGGTGTATGGCAGCTTCCATAAGAGAATTTATTGTTAGAATCAGATCCGTGGGACTGGGTGGTATGAATATACGTGAATTTTTTTCTCAGTTAATTAATTAATAGTTCCCATTTTAATCCTGAGGGGTTGCTCAATTGGTCAGGTTTTGAGTTTGCTCCCCAATGGTCACCAGTTCGAGTCCCCTCAGGGCCACTGAGGTGATTATCCGGTCGTGAACTTTAGAGCCCCGTAGAATTAGTCGATGTGCGCGCAAGCTGGCCCGGACATCCACGATTATCAAGAAAAAAAAATAGTTCCCATTTTGTTAGTCCTTTTTCCTTATATATATATATATATATACACTCCAAATTTGCATGGATTCTGCATTTTCTTGCATGGACAGGGTGAAAATTTTCTGTGATAGTAAAAAATGAGAGTTCATTGTGAAGAACAAACCCTAGAGTCTTTCGTTTTTACTTCACTTGTTTACCATTCCAATATTTGGCAAAGAGATGAAAAAAAGTTTGAGCTAAAATGAAAATAGAATAGTGTACTATGCCAAGTTTACTCTTTCATTATGGTTTTAAAAAAAATGATGTTAATGATAATTTTAAAATAAAATTTACGATCGAGATCTCTTTCGAATATCAAGTCTACAAGTGACAAGGAATCAGAGAAATTTTACAATCGATATATAATAGAGAGGAGTATGGGTAAGTTTATTTTATTGTCCCTTTAATGGTAATTAGGGATGTAAAAAAGTTGAGCAGAAGATCACGACTCAGGTAAAAAATGTCTCGAACTTTTGGGTCCACTCGGCTCGACAAAAAAAACAAGGCAGGCTCCATTGAACTGGCTCGGTTTTTTTATTTTTATTTTTTTTAATCCTTGAAATTTGAATGTTTCTTAAATATTAAAAAAATAAGAAAGCTGCTTGTGTTGCACAGGTGGCTATAGCCTACACACGCAGTTGAGGAAATTACATAAAACCATGCATTTAAGTTTACAAATTCAAAAATCAGATCTAAATTTTATTTAATCAAAAATCAAGTATT